GCTGCACTCGATGCCGACGGCGTCGAGTCGCGCCTGATCACCCTGAGAGACGCGCAGCTGGAAAGTCGGGAAGCTCCTCATGCACACCTTCAGCGGGTTCCGCGGCATCACCTCATCGGGCAGATACTTCCTGAGGATGACCACCGAGCCCATGACCTCGGTCGCAAACGTGGGCCACTTGCCTTCCAACACTGGTTTGAGCAGGTCCTTTGCGTAAGTCGCCCGGCTCTGGCAGGCCAACTCCTCGGGGTACTTGTCGATTGTGCGCCATTGTTGGCGGCGGTTGGGTCTCAGTGGGCAAGGCGTCCTCTCCTGCTTAGCTAGAACTAACGAGCACTTCTTTCCCTTCATGCGAACCAAACAATCCCACATTTTCTGAGAGTCGTTGAACTCCACTTTGACGCGGTCCGCGTAGATACCCACAGCGTAAACCTTCTGAACTCCCTGATGATGGCACTCGGCCAAAGTCTGCTTCATGTCATTCGCGATGTCACAACCGTCAGTGCACTCGAAACCGCCGATGCACAAGGTCTGGCGCCTGTTCACGGGGGTGCGGAAAGCTGGGGGCGGCACCGCGGATTGATCCGGGGAGACTCCATGGCTTCCCCGATGTTCACCAGCGCGGGAACCTCCAGCAGCGGATTCAGTTCCACCCCCGCCTCCGCCGTTCTCTAATACACTAACTCTGGCGGCCAACTCTACGAAATCCTTTTCTAATGTGAATCACGGTGGCGGCGGTCTTGTTAACCTTGACCATGCATTTGCTCTATCGGTGAGATAGACGTGGACATGACGTTGCGGAAATCGGCCGATAGGGCGCGGAAGGGACATACTTCACCTGGTTCCAGACCTTCAGGAGGCTGGGCAAGCTGCTTCAAAACCTCTGATGGGGGGCTCCACAAAACATTGCAGATCTTCATTGTCAGTCTCGACGTCATCCTCCTCCATGCGAGCGTGTTCACCTACGCGGGCCTTTTTCGTGGCGGTTACTTCGGGAGCAGCAGCAGCGAAACGGGTTCCTGGGGCGGCCTGTCCAGCGGCGGCAGCAACTGGAACAGCGGAGCCATGAGAGACGAAGCCTGCGACTGCGGCGGGCTGATGAGCACCCGAGGAGGAAGCAGAGGCCATCACGGGGAGACCAGCGAACATCTGACCCAAAGGGCGGGTCCGCCTGCACAAAATGAGGGGCGATCAGAGAGAAGCCAAAACGGACGAGGATGCCGAAACGGGGACCTGTTCCCCGAGAAATGCCTTGAGCCAAAATGGCGACGACGACGACGACGTCGACGACGACGACGACGACGACGACGACGCGAGCCGCATGTAGGTTGCGATATCTGCCCCAACGCGCCTGTGTACACCACAACGCTCGCATGCACCACGGCGCGCGTGTACACCACAGCTCCTGCGTACATCGCAACAACCGTATGCAACGCAGCGCCTGTGTACACCGCAATGCTTGCGTACACTACAGCGCCGGTGTACATGTGCACACCGCAGCAACCATTTGCAACACAGCGCCTGTGTACACCACAATGCTTGCGTGCACCGCGGGTCCTGTGCACGCCACAGCGCCTGACTACACCACAACATCCGCGTGCAACGCAACGCTATTGTACACCACAACGCGTGCGTGCATAGGACAAGTTGAAGGGGCCTGTACGTGAGGATCTGATGCGAAAGCACCACGCCAGGAAAGTGATGATAATCGAATGCGACGGTTTTACTCCTTTCTCATCCACTCCTCTTCCCCTCCTCCTCCTTCTCCTCCTCCTCCTCCTCCCTACCCCCTGTCGTTCGAATTTGCGTTACAGCGCACGTGCACATCTCAGCGTGCACCGCAGAATGGTCGATTGAATCAGCCCACTTGGTTTTCGGACGGCCAATTTAGCTGGAGCCTCCTGGACGCATATGGGAGGAGCTACGGTGATGCGGGCGAACTTGAAGCACTCATAGATTCCCCTGGCACTCCTTTGCCCATAATGATCATGATATATTGTTTTCTGTGGAATCCACAAGCGCTTCATTTTGTCTTAATGCTTCCTTCCAACATTCTACATACAATAGTGGTGCTGTGTTGCACACGGTTGCTGCGGTGCACACAAGCGCCGCGGTGCAAACAGGCACAGCAATGCACGCAGGCATTGTGGTGTACACTGGTGCTGTGTTGCACACGGCTGATGTGGTGTACGCAGGCGCTGTGGTGTACACAAGAACTGTTGTGCCCTCGCGCACGGTGGCACAAACTGACGCTGTGTTGCACGCGGCTGTTGTGGTGTACGTGGGCGGTGTGGTGTACACAGGCTCTGTGGTGCACGCAGGCACTGAAGTGTACACAAGCAGTGTGGTGCAAATCGCCACCTATATGCTGGTGCCACCCGTCCTCCGTCATTCCTAAGCATTCCCAGGCGCCGCCGGCGCGAAGCGTGACGCCATCGACCCCCTCCACCCCCCCAGATGATTGCCGTCATCGTCCGCGCGCACGACGATAATGAGCGACAAGCGACGAGCCACGAGCCACGAGCCACGAGCGACGACGACGACGACTGCGGACCAAACTCCTATGCGGATTCCTTCGCGGACACCCAGGCGGATCCCAATGCGCACGGCGGCAGTGCCCGATCGCCCTGGGGGGGGAGCGTTCCGTCATAGGGAGGGGGGAGCGGGGGCCATGACGCCCGTCATGCCCCAAGCAATACAGAAACGGGCTCGAGAACAATCGAAAACAACAAAAAACATCCAGACACGCCCGAATATCGTCAGAAATATGAAAATCCCGAAATTCCGACAATTATTGTTTGGTCAGCTGGCGGCTGATTCACCCGGCCGCGGACGGTGCCCTGGGCAGAGACAGTCAGCCTCGAACAAGGTAACCAAATCGAGTCGGAATGTGCGTCGGATCGGGCTGCACCGGCACGGAATCGTAATCGAACTGGGTTGGGTGCGCCAGGACGCAACACAATGCCATGCAACCAGCGGGCCTCATCGGATCGCCGGGAAGCCAACATCAAATCGGATCGAGCCTGGCAAACTCGAAATCGAATCGGATAGATCGGATCGAACTACATCTCGCGGCGAGGCGCAGCTGCTTGGACTCATCCTGTGGCTGGCAAACCTCCCGAAACCTTTGCAAACGTCAGAAAATCCTGTCCTCCTCCAACTGGCAAGGCAAACGCCGCTTCAAAAAAAATGCCTGGCGAAGGACCCAACCATATGCAGCTGCGAGTACCGCACGGATATGAGACGAAGGAGGGGGCACGCAAACTAGGCCCCTCTTCTCATAGGCACCGCGCCACTTGGGCCTTCGGTGGAGCTCCCTATGGGGCCACGAAACGTGTGAGGGGTGTGCCGATATGGGTGGTGGGGAGGCACGCGAACCCTGCCACTGGGGCCTTCGGTGGAGCTCCCTATGGGGCCACGAAACGTGTGAGGGGTGTGCCGAAATGGGTGGTGGGGAGGCATGCGGACCCTGCCACTGGGGCCTTCGGTGGAGCTCCCTATGGGGCCACGAAACGTGTGAGGGGTGTGCCGAAATGGGTGGTGGGGAGGCATGCGAACCCTGCCACTGGGGCCTTCGGTGGAGCTCCCTATGGGGCCACGAAACGTGTGAGGGGGTGCCGAAATGGGTGGTGGGGAGGCATGCGAACCCTACCACTGGGGCCTTCGGTGGAGCTCCCTATGGGGCCACGAAACGTGTGAGGGGTGTGCCGAAATGGGTGGTGGGGAGGCATGCGAACCAGCCACTGGGGCCTTCGGTGGAGCTCCCTATGGGGCCACGAAACGTGTGAGGGGTGTGCCGAAATGGGTGGTGGGGAGGCATGCGGACCCTGCCACTGGGGCCTTCGGTGGAGCTCCCTATGGGGCCACGAAACGTGTGAGGGGTGTGCCGAAATGGGTGGTGGGGAGGCATGCGAACCCTGCCACTGGGGCCTTCGGTGGAGCTCCCTATGGGGCCACGAAACGTGTGAGGGGTGTGCCGAAATGGGTGGTGGGGAGGCATGCGAACCCTGCCACTGGGGCTCTATGGGGGTGGAGCTCCCTATGGGGCCACGAAACGTGTGAGGGGTGTGCCTGGGTGGTGGGGAGGCATGCGAACCCTGCCACTGGGGCCTTCGGTGGAGCTCCCTATGGGGCCACGAAACGTGTGAGGGGTGTGCCGAAATGGGTGGTGGGGAGGCATGCGAACCCTGCCACTGGGGCCTTCGGTGGAGCTCCCTATGGGGCCACGAAACGTGTGAGGGGTGTGCCGAAATGGGTGGTGGGGAGGCATGCGAACCCTGCCACTGGGGCCTTCGGTGGAGCTCCCTATGGGGCCACGAAACGTGTGAGGGGTGTGCCGAATGGGTGGTGGGGAGGCATGCGAACCCTGCCACTGGGGCCTTCGGTGGAGCTCCCTATGGGGCCACGAAACGTGTGAGGGGTGTGCCGAGATGGGTGGTGGGGAGGCATGCGAACCCTGCCACTGGGGCCTTCGGTGGAGCTCCCTATGGGGCCACGAAACGTGTGAGGGGTGTGCCGAAATGGGTGGTGGGGAGGCATGCGAACCCTGCCACTGGGGCCTGTGAGGGGTGTGCCGAAATGGGTGGATGCGAACCCTCCACTGGGGCCTTCGGTGGAGCTCCCTATGGGGCCACGAAACGTGTGAGGGGTGTGCCGAAATGGGTGGTGGGGAGGCATGCGAACCCTGCCACTGGGGCCTTCGGTGGAGCTCCCTATGGGGCCACGAAACGTGTGAGGGGTGTGCCGAAATGGGTGGTGGGGAGGCATGCGAACCCTGGAGGGAGGAGGGCGAGGAGGAGGAGGAGGAGGAGGAGGAGGAGGGAGGAGGAGGAGGAGGAGGAGGAGAGGAGGAGGAACGCGGGGACCGTCTCTTCAAAACGAGGACCCAACACCATAGGATGGTTGGGAAAAAGGTCGCGTCCAGATCGCCGACAATTCATGTTTTTGTTGGCTGGCGGCAGCTGCTCGAAGCCGCTGCGGACGGTACCCATCGGCCCCTCCGCGCGGCCGCCGCTCCGCCGCAGCGCCCGCACGCAGTCGCCGTGCGGCCGCCCGGTCGCCTCCGCCAGCCGCTCCGCCGCGACGGCCTCGCGCGCTGTAGCGGCGGCGCGCGCGCGCTGGAACGGCGGCGCGCGCGCGGCGCGGCCTGCGCGCCGGAGCCGCGGCCGGAGCGCCGGAGCTCCTGCGCGTGCAGGGCGCGAGCCCGGACAGCTTTGGTCGCGGCGCGGGCGCTCGCTCTGCGAGAGGTGGCCTACATGGTTTGTGCACTGTTGGCGGCGCACACAAGAGGGTAGGGGAAGGGGGAAGGCTTCTTAGGAGGCTGAAGGAGGCTGCTTCTTAGACCTTACATCTATTTAGACCAGGGCCACGCCTTCTAAAAAGCAGGGTGTTTCCGAGAAGTCCTTGCGCGTGGCCGACACTGGCAAGGTGACACCTCGGAGCCGAGAAGAAGGGAAGGCGGCAGCGCGAGCCCAGACCATCAACGTAGCAGTTGACAAAATTAAGACGGAGGTTGCTCGCCACCCCGGGGGGCGTCCGCAAGTCATGGCATGACCCGCGGCGCGAAAGCGGACGAGGCGCGGGGGGTGGGGGGATGCGGTCGACAGAAGAAGGAGCGCCATGAGCTCTGGGGAGGTATCGTGGCTCCCGCTACGATCCCTCCCCTGAAAAATCACCCCCCGCCTAGCCGCCCTGGATCGACCCTTCTCGACCTCCGGGAGCTGCGTCTGGGCCCCAGGACTGTCAAGAACGGCTCACGATGGAAAGCGGGCCCCGTGAAAAACGGCCAGGCTTTCCGAAGACCCCGCATTGAAATTGCCCGACGCGGAGATCCCCGCATGTGCCCTTCATTTTCTGGCACGTTCCCCTGTGAGCGCCCGAGCACGACATGATCTAAGGGCGGCTAAGACCTCGCGTGCGCCAGTCCGACCATGAGCGATCCTCCCTTCTGCTATCTGCCACCACTTGAGAACGACATAAGACTCGGGTTCTGGGGACTCGGGTTGCCCTGGCGAGAAATGACGAGACTCGGTGGGAAATGTGACGCAAACACAAAGGAAAACCCCGAGCTCCGGCGAACCCGACCCTTGCGCTTTCCCAACGCTTGCTGTCCTGCACAGCTCGACGTCGCACCGTGCCGGTCTGCGCTGCCCCCATCCACGTGTCGGCCGTGTGACAGGGCGCGCGCACAGCCAGGCGCACGCCCGCGACAGCACGGAGGCATTGGGGAGGCGACGACACTCCCAGGGCATGAAGTGCACACGCCAGCTTTCTCGACCTGTGCCGCGCTGCGGGGGGGGAGAGTGGCCGAGCGGGCGGCGGCGGCGGGAGTGGCGGCACCGGCAGGAAGGAGTGACCAGGCAGACCAACGGCTCGAAGACGGGCCCCTGAAACACACTCTTGGTGAGCTCCCCTATGGCGGGGGGGACACATGCCACGCCTGCCGCATCGCGATGATCATGGGATTCTGAAAAGAGACACGTCCACATCCCCAAATATGCGATCCTCTCGAAGTATTCATACAACTTGAGCGCGAACGGACCCGTGCGAAACACTTGGTCGGCTCTTCCTTGGGATGCCCACGTGCCATGCCTGCTACATTGAGACGATCCTGGGGCTCTGACGAGTGACACGTCCACCTCCCTAAACGAGCGATCCGCTCGAGGCATTCACACAATCTGGGCACACAGGGGCCCGTGCAACACCCTTGGTCGGCTCCCCCTCGGGGGGGGGGGGGGCACGCGGCTACATCCCGACTGAGTCAAAGTGTATGTGAGTCTGAGTGCGAGTGGGTAATTATGGGTGTGAGCGGGTCTGAGTATGAGCGAGGCTGAACCTGAGCTCTGAGTACGAATGGCGTACGAGTGACCGAGCGACGAGGAGAGCGAGGATAATGGGAAAGAGTCAGGATGCAGAGGCGTCACACCAATCACGTGTACTCTGTGTTTGTCAGCTACACGCAGGAGTGGCCCTGGGCAAGAGTAAGCGTTGCTGCGCGGCTTTTGGGTGGTGCAGGAGGGGGGGCCAATCCAAACTCCCAAGTGCGCGTGCGAACCATGCCTCGGTTTTTTGGGGGCGACCCTGTGGGCCCGCACCAACGGGCACTCCAGCCAGACGCCACTCTTGCGTGTAGTCGAGCCTAGGCGGCCGCCCCCCGCTGGTTCTGGGCCCCTGAGGGCCCAGGCGAGCGCCCGGCCGGCATCTGCCCCCCTTCTGCACCGCCACCCCCCCCACCCCCGCGCCCTCACGTTGTCCTCGTCTGTCGTCTGCCGTTCGCTCGTCGATCGCGTCGTCTCTCCGACCTCTGCCGCAAGGCCCCTTGGTGCAGTCGAGCAGTCAACAGGGAGTACTTCTTCCGACTTCAAGAAAGGCTACAGACCGCCCTCAACAATTGGAAACACGACCGCTCCCACACAAAACTCGAGACACACTGGTCACAGAGGCCTGCGCATATACCATTATGCAGGAAAACCGACTACAGGCCTGGCAACAAGCCGTTCATCGACGAGGAGGAACCACCACGATATCCAAGAAGAGTACCACTCATATACATGTCATGGCCAGAACTCAACGACGACATAGACCACAACAGAGTACGACTCGTAAACACGTCCTACAACGAGGACGGCACAGAGGGGAGCCTCATAGAGATCTTGTACAAGATATACTGCTATCAACGTTTGAAAAACTAAACAAATTCCAGATGTACGAAGACTACGCCCTCCACGCCAAGGTTAACTACGCAGACCCCGACTACGAGCAGCACACATTCTTCAGCACCATGACGGACGCCTGCCACAATGTCTCCATGGAATCGGAACTACTCTCGCTCACCAACTACCTAGCAGACTCACTGCACACTGCAGGAGCATCAACAGTCCGCCCACCAGGCCACGTGCATGATTGACAAACACAGGAGACACATCACACCACCTGTCAGCTACCAACAAACATAATCTGTCGAGCTCGAAGAGTCCTCCCAATACGAGTGCGACTTACTCAACCAATGGACAGGTGCTGCACGTGTCAAACCAGACCAGTCCGCAGGACCAGTACCGCTTACACATTACGAACTCCAGGCACCAGCAATGGACAACCCAAGATGGCCAAGGGCAATGTACCACCTCGCACTTCCGACCATCACGGGCTTACATCCAAGCAACCGCGCCTCGCACACTGACGGCAACCCGACATGCATCCAACCACGACCTTCTATGGACCTACCACACCCTCACGGACCACAATGTACCTTCAAACGAAATAAGGCCATCACAACAATAATAACTTCAAATTCCCAATCGAGCTACCTCCAGAGGACACACACACACTACGGCTTCGTACAACAACATCTTGCCAAGAGATACGACATCGAGGAGGGCAACTACGACCACCTGGAAAAGGAGCGACACAAATGCAACGGCCATACGAGAATGCTACCACCAGAGCAAACCATTCCGACCCTGCCCTTCAAAAACATCAAGGACAAGCGCGGCAAGAGAAGGACCGACACCAGCCATGAGTACATACCTCCACCACCAGCCAAGACACCAACCCCACCGACAGCAGCGACACCCAGCGAAAGACCCAACCCATGGAGAGACATAACCGAGCTCATCTACGACACCACGCACTCAGACGAAAGCATCGGCCAAAACGACCCCTGGGCAAAGATGAACGGAGCGGCAGACACACACGAGCTCTGCCTCACGTCACTCAAACCCAACAAGTACCACGACATGCTTTGTCCTAGCGGATGGACAGCATACTGCTACTAAGCCAACGACAAAGACACCGATGGCTACGAGGACGACAGATGGCCCCACGCAGTGTACTACCACGAGCAATCCAACACGTACACGTGCAGATTTCCAAACGACGGCCTACTTCTTCCAGGATGGCACAGGTACCTCAACAAGTACAACAACGAGATGTTCGTGCACCAAGACGGATATGAATGTCTACCACATCGGCCGCTCCGGCCCCACTCCAGAGCCACACCATTGTCGAAATTCACCCTGCCACCTACGACCCCCACCAAAACGTTCATGCCCAAAGACGCCATCCACGCAGGCATACATCTACCTATACCCAAGCCGCCCAACCACCCCACATTCACACGATACGGCACCGACCTACAAGCTTTCGCAGCATACGATCGAGGTAACGCAGCCCTGCGATTCCAAGTTGTCACGACCAATCAGCACTTCCAGATACTACTCACTGGAGGTCAACCACCTCTTATCACCAACAAGATCGCTGCAATACAGGAAATACGACTGGGCAATCGATATGCGACACACAGCAACACTACTACAACAGATCTGCAACCCGACCATGACCAACCACAACACCACAACACACACAGACCGACAGCGACAACTCCAGCGAAAACAATGCCCACACAGACGCCACATCGACAGGCTCCGCTCGCACCAAGCGCGCTACGAGCATCACATCAACAGCCTACGCGACCACCCACACAGTGCTCCATTCAAAGAGCCTCCTCCCAAACAGATCGTACAGTACAGCTACGCAAGCTTCCACCCAAACCCAAGCCAACGAGCCGTACCGACACATATTGGTAGCAAACCACCGCGACATCAACCGCCAGTACTCTTACCTGCATACTACCACAGAGCGAGCACGATTGAACCTCACAGAGGCCACCGCGACATTCACCTCCAATACTCCTCACTCTTCGATTACCGCAGAAGGGCTACAACTGAGCCTCAATGAGGAACAGCGTACAGGCACGCTCACAGAAGAGTCTCCTGCCTTGACTTCCAGATGCCACTGATGCGCCCTGTACCCTCACTTTCCCTCGCGGCTCGGACACACTGCTGGCATCCCTCTCCCTAATGCAGGTTCGGGGTACTCCTACAAAACCCTGGGTCGCAGCCCGAGGATTGCATGATGACTTGTTTTCTAGGTTCGGGGTTAACCTGAAAAACCGTGGGACTCATCTGCCGTTTTTCTGACCACGAGAGAAGATGCTTACCCACATCTTGTCGCACAAAAGGAAGCACTTGAATTCCCCACGGGGCCGATCCCAACATTACAATCACCGCTCTCTCATCACCTACCCCTACTTGCTCACACTTGCGGCCGGCAAGGGTGGCACATATCCTTGAGACTCGGCGGGTGGACGGGGGCAGTATAGGTTGGAGGTGAATAGATGGCCTATGCTTGTTACTCTTCTGATCGGCCATGCTGTCCTTCCCAATGCAGCTCAACGGTTTAGGGTCAACCAGGAGACCCTGCCTGGCCCACAGATTGGGCACGCTTGTAATACCCAACAGGCCAGCCCGAATAGGCCAGCCTTGCGACACTGTCAATCGCACGGACAGGCAGCTTCGACAACAAAGGTTCGTGCCTAACCCGCAAACAACAGTACAAAAGGACACGAGAGCCCTGGTACTGAAGTGGTTCGGGGTAGACCCTGAAGACCACGGGCTGCATCCCAAGAGCTGACATACTTAGCTTTCTATGTTCTGGCTTGACGCTGCACATCTCGGCAGCTCACGTGACCCTCTCCTCGCGCTGATTGACCCTCACCTGGACACCTCCTCACATCTGCAGCCAACGAAGCCCTATCAATACGGACACACAGAAGACAGAACGACTGTACGCCCATTCCTTTCGGCTTCGAGAAGCCACTTTTTTACATTGCATCAGTATCTAGCCCGACCCAACACAATCGGCACAGTTTTTCTTATGCAGAGGATACATCCTCTGAAGAGGACGACGGGCTTACATCATGGCAACCCCAACCCTTTGGCGTCCAAACGCCACGCTTTCTCACTGCACCCGAACTTAGGACTGCCCCAAGGAAAGCGGCACTGCTCTCTTTTATATATGGCTAAGGCTACACCCATGGCCAGCCAACAGTTGCTTCTGTACGCTACTCTTGCTTATCGAAGGTAGTACTCGGGAGGGGGTGTTCTACTGGATAATGGGGTGGGAGGATTGCCCACTGTCTTCTTTCCTGTTCTACAATGGAGGACAAGTGAATAATGTACCCATGCGCCCGCTGTTGCAACTACTCGTTTACCATTCTTGTCCACGCAGGATGTACCTCAAAGTTGACGGTTGCACTTCTAGGTTAAATGATCGCATGTCTTGTTTACCAAGCGAAAGTACATGCTGGGGCGATACTCGCCTGTAAGCATACCGCTCCTTGCATGCCCGTCACGACTTTACCAATCGAGGCGGTACCACCAATTGAACTTACGGGCTTCTAATTGTCGTAATTACTGGGAGTTATATCCACTCAGGTTATGCTGACCTCGAGGACCTTGCGGGCGACTACTCTCTTATCTACTATGCTCCATTATTTTTCATGTCAAAGTACGCGGCTCCCGCCAGGTGTTTTTTTCGAGCCGAGCTCGGACCCCTTTCTTCTCTTGCACAGCTGTGATTTGGTACTCGGACCTCTTATGTTCGTTCGTCGTTCGTTCGTCGTTTGTCGTTCGTACTCCCCCCCGGTCACGGATGGAAACTCCTGGAGGAAGGAGGCGAAACCCTCCTGTCCTTCGCAGCTCCTTGGTGCAAGAGCCAGGGCATGCGTGCCACTTGTTTTCCGCGCGAGCGGTCGAGGAGGAAAGTGGCCCACTGATCGGGAACCAAACCATATATAAAATATGTGTATAGATCTATATATACATATATATATATATATATATATATATATATATGTATGGATGCATACTTATGTTATATATTAGATATAATACATTCCAAGGCCGAGAATGATGTCACGATGCGGCTAGCTCAGGATGCGATCCAGACATTCTGGAGATCCTCGTTTCTGGAGCCCGTGCGGAACAGTAGGAAATCGTGGAAATCTTGGGATGTATCATCGTCGCACCCTCTTGCACCTCGAATTCAAAGCCCTTGCCGATCCACCCCCAGCGCACACACCCCCTCCACAGACGCCAGCCTCGTCCTCCGCTCCCAAGGCGCTGGTGTCAATGCCCACATCGCTGTCGCGCTCCGCGGCACTACCAGGATCGTCTCCTAAATGTGCGGCATCGCCAGGTGCTCCATCGTCGGCACCCTGAGGGGCTGCGGAAGCGAATCCACTCCCTCTGCCCACTCGTCGATACACCATGTGCTCCCCCTGCTTCTCCTGCTCCTGCTGCTCCTGCTCCTGTTCCTCCTGCTATTCCTCCCCCTTTTCCTGGCAACTTCTGGCTCAGAGTGTACGGTAGAGGTGCCAAGCCTTACCACTCTGCCACTTGCCGAGGTTGCACCGATGCACAAACCTTGCTCACGAACGGTTCTGCTAAGCTGGATTGCCAATCTCATCCGGGTGCCCACACATTCCCCCACTCTGCGGGCCATGCCTGAAGAGAATGATGAGAAGGCTGGTGCCCTGGAACGCCGACCTCCCTGGCACGTCAGGCACAATGGAAGACGGGCCGTCACCAGCGGCTGCTCCCACCTGGCTCGATGGCGCAATGGACCACCTCACCCTCGATTCTCAACGTCGGCACGCTGCACAATGACACACCGCGCTTCAAGTCCGAAGGGGCCCAGCGGGCTCCCAGGAGAGCTGCCCGGGAGCCCCGCCGCAGTGCGGCCGTGGGGCCCCAGCCCTGTGCAGGTCGGAAGAGCGCTGGCGTCGGGTTAGATTATAGGTTGACGGCGCGCGCACGGGGGCGGTGCCAGGGGGCCGGCCTTCTTAAACACAAAAGAAGAACAAATCTTCCTAAAGGTAAAACGTAGCATGGGGATGTGATTCGCGGAGCCCACGAGGGGGTGGCGCGAGGGGGGCGGACTGCCACGACCCAGCGCAGGAAAGAGCTTGCCGCCTTGAGCCAATAGATGGCTACTGACCCTCCTCCCTGCTCCTCCTCGAACTTTGACCCTCCTCCTCCTCCTCCTCCACCTCCTCATCGCTCATGGAACGTCGCGACACTTGTGTCCACAACGCAGGCACGCGAACGATTCAAGAAACCCGCGCGGATCTGCGACAGTGAATGTCTATGATGAAGTTAGCGTCCTTCTTCGAAAGCGTAGAACCCGCTCCATTTCCCGTCCTCGGTCTCGTCGCCGTCCCTGGCCTCGTCGATGCCCCTCGGGGACCCCGTCCCTTCTCCTTGATCGGCCCCTTCGCCGTGGAGGTGGATGCGCGTGTCCGGTTCCGGCAATCCTGAGCCCACGATTGAGCGACGATCAGAAACGATATTACGCGAGGTGACGTAGCGACCTGACGCCGAGGCTTACGCGGGCCGCGAGCGCGGCACGCTGCACTGTAAGCGAGGGCGCTTACGCACGACCTTAACTACGCGGGCAGCTTACGCGCCCATGTCGGTGCGGACGACCCAATTGTTGTGGAGTCGCTCAATTGTTGAAGCCTCACTTCTCAGAAGGCGCGAGGGCTTCTGAGAAGCCCCGCCGCGTCCTGAGAGGGCCTCCTCTTTCTCACGTCTCCTCCTGGCTCGCCGCCGAATTAACGCCTCCAGGAGGACACGTGCGAACCCTACCCCACCACCCCACGATTTCTACTCGGGGGTGGGGCTCCCTTCGTTCGGGACATCCCGAGCGAAGTGAACCCCACCTCCCCCCTTCGAAATCGTGGGGTGGTGCGGCAGGGCTCGCACGTGGCCTCCTGGCCCCACTTCTCCTCCTGTCGCCTTCCGTTGCTCTTCCGCTGGCCGACCCGCCGCCGGCTCCCTTCCGCCGGCCTCCGCGGGCCTGCTGCCGCCTTCCGCCGAGGGTGGGGGCGCGCCGAGGACGAGGCCCCTCCCGGAGCGCCAACCCGTGTAGGAAGGACGCACGCTAAGGGATGCAGGGGCCTCGGACGGCCCTATCGACACTTCGCCGGTGGGGCGCGGCTGGCGAAAGCGCCCAAGGATGGGCCGAAGGGGAAGGGTGCAAGGGCAACCTTGGAAAGTTGCTCATCCTTCCTATGCGGGTTGACTGTATAGATCCCAGCCTCGGAGGACCCCTCTCTTTCCCGTCCTCGGCCTCGTCGTCGTCCTCGGCGCCGCAGCCGCCGCAATCCCCATCGGCGCTCTCGCACTCGCCGCAGCCCTCAGCACCCCCGACCTCTTCCTTCCTCGACACCCTCCTCGCCGCCAACCGCGCGCCCGCCGCCGCCTAAAATCCGTCCCAGGACCCCTCCCGTGGGTCCGTCCTGGTGAGTGGTGAGCTCCCCAGACACCCAGCCCGACGTCGTGAACCAAAGCAAGACACAGGCTGTTGCCAGCCGTTCTGGGATCGCCAGGGGCCGCTGTCGCTCTCTGGGGCCGTCAGAGAACTGCTCGGGAGGAAGGAGCGGGCCTGGGAAAAGGACTCGGGACTTCCTGGGGCAACGCGCTGACAAACTCTGGACGTCGGATGCCTGGGCCTCCATCCCGAATCGATCCACGACGGCCCCTCAGGCCCTCAGCGGGCTTGCCCAAGGCCAAGGGCGATGAAAAGCCTCCAGCGCTATCGTACGATTCGTCGTCTTCGTATGATAACTATCCATCGTCGTCCTCATCATCACCATCACCATCACCAACACCATAACCATAACCACCATCATCACCACCATCATCAGCATCACTATCCTTGTCGTCGTCATCATGATCGTCGTCGTCGCCGTCGTCGTCGTCACCATCATCATCAAACACAACAATCACCATCACCATCACCACCACCGTCATCATGGCCATCAGCATCATCATCAGCATCGACATCATCAGCATCATCATCAGCATCAGCATCGTCATCATCATCAGCAGCATCAGCAACACCCTCATCCACGTCCTCATCATCATGATCATCGTCGTAATCATCACAATCACCATCACCATCATCGTCACCATCACCGTCACAATAACCATCACCACCCCATCAACATCAGCATCATCTTCATCATCACTATCACCATCATCATCAGCATGATCAGCATCAGCATCGGCATCATCACTATACTCATCAGCATCAGCAGCTTCAGCGTCATGATCAGCATGATCAGCATCATCATCAGCAGCATCATCCTCATCACCATCATCCTCACCATCCTCCTCCTCATCATCATCAGCATCAGCATGCTCAGCAGCATCATCGTCATACGCATCATCATTGCCATCAGCAGGATCAGCCTCATCTTCAGCAGCATCAACATCAGCAGCATCACCAGCGTAATCAGCATCATAATCATCATCATCATCAGCAGCAGCAGCATCATCATCATCATCAACCGCATCATCAGCATCAGCATCATCGTCACCATCAGCAGCTGCATCTCCTCTATCATCACCACCATCACCACCACCATCATCATCATCATCAGCAGCAGCATTGCCATCATGTTCAGTATCATCGTCGTCGGCATCATCGCCATCACCATCATCACCATGATTATTGTCCTCCTCCTCCGCCTCCTCCTCATCATCAGCATCATCAGCAGCATCATCATCAACATCAGCATTCTCATCAGCATCATCAGCATCATCATCATCATCACCATCATCATCATCATCATCATCATCATCATCACCATCATCACCATCGTAAACTAATCGACGTCGTCGTTGGCGTCGTCGTCGACGTCGGCGTCGTCAGTATCATGAGCACCCTCATCCCCCTCCGCATCCTCCTCATCACCACCACCAACGCCACCACCACCACAATCCCACCAGCCCTATGGGCGTAGGTGGTCTAAAGTGCTTCCTCTTCCAACCTCCTTCTCCCCCCTCGGGGAAATGTGTATCACAATTCCGTATTCATATGCACCCCCTCCCCCACCCGGCCAGCGTCCAATCAGGAACCATGACGACACCATGAGGGCCCGCCCCCCACCATCCCTGTCAAATTACCCTGGCGACGTACCCAATCCCTGCGCAATGCGGGGCAGGAGTAGCTTGGAAGATTTGACGAGAAGGCGACGACGTGACACGGACGCATATGCTTCTGCGAGCGGCATTCGGAAGGTTCGAATGTCTCCAATCAAGGGAAACACGATGAGTAACTAAGTGAACCACTGAGTCACCAAGGAAGACGCAAGGTCCAATAGGAGACGGTGGGCAAGGGGCTTGAAACGTCGGCGGGGCAGCAACAGCATGGCATGGCCCCCCAAGGACGGCGAGGCCCCGCTCAGGTCTGCTCAGTGCCCCACTGCGCTGGACCCACCAGCAACCATCGAAAGTGGCGAGCTCACCAGCAGCCCCCGAAAATGGCGACGGTTTCGCAGATCGCACCCCCCCAGGGACGGGGAGGTCCCGCTCAGATCTGCGCGGTGCCTCACTCCGCTGGACCCACCAGCAGCCCTCGAAAGTGGCGAAGGTTTCGCAGATCGCACCCCCCCAGGGACGGGGAGGTCCCGCTCAGATCTGCGCGGTGCCTCACCCCGCTGGACCCACCAGCAGCCCCCGAAAGTGGCGACGATTTCGCAGATCGCAGCCCCCCGAGGGACGGCGAGGTCTCGCAGGAGACAGGAGGCGGGGGGCTGGAGGCGGGAGGAAGGAAGGACGGACGGACGCGCGGCCAGTGCTCTTTTCAAAACGAATACCCAAACAAGGAGGGTTGGGAACACACAATACAAACCGCGCTCTGCCTCCACATTTGGAGAATGCGCGGCCAACCCGATGCGCCCCCCACCATCCCTTTCAAAAAACAATGCAACGTACACCTCGGGGCAAGGTCTTGAGTCATGTTCGTAAGGCCCCCGAAGACTTTGTATTGTTTTTGACAAGGACGGCGGGGGTGCGAGCATATTCCCTACCGTGCGCAGGGCTACCATCCTGACAAAACAACAATACAACATGCACCTCGCGGCTAAGTTTGGATCATGCGCGGCCATCCCGCGATCACTGTCACATGGTTTTTGACAGGGACGGCGGGGGTGCTGGCGCGTGGCCTGCTGTGCGCAGGCCCACCAGACACAATGATGTGCATTGGCTTTCGACAAGGATGGCGGGGGCCGACATGTTTCCCGATGTGTGCTGTCACGTGCGCAGGCGCACCTGACGTGCCCCGAACATGGCGCATCTGGCGTGGCTGGAGTGTGCGGCACACCTGGCGCACTCGGAGCACGTGGCGCATCTGGCGCACCAGGCGCTC